AACAAATCTTTGAGTAAAGTACCCTCTGTGTGTAACAAAGAGCTGGGTGGAGATACCCATGGAAATCATCCATTCTTTTGACCCTATAGAGTGCTATGTCTAAATATCAAGTGAAATGTTAATTTTCTGGTTATTTCAGCTTGAAGCATGGAAAATGCCTATTTTGTTTTGGATATTAAGTTGTTAGAAAAGACTGTAGTGGTCCTCTAGTTCCAGTGTCTCTTTCAAGTGTCATTTTGTGAAAGCCTGTTCCTGGTCAGGTATTTGCTAGGCACTGGGGATACACAGCTCTGTAAGACACGGTCCCATCCTTGAAGGACTCCCAGACTTCCTCGTGCCCAAGGCTAGGAGCCCTTCAAATGGCATCTCAGATGTCAGCCTGTGATTAAACATTTCTGATGACAAAAAGCTCACTACCTCATAGGACAAGCCATTCCCTTGTCACAGTTATGTGGCTTTTGGAGTTAGGGATGGGGGAACCAAGGAGTTCATCCTATGCAGTTGTTTCTGGACTTCTTTTCCAAGTAAAGTCTTACTCAGAACACTGACCTATAAAATGAGTAAAATTAGCTGTGCTGCAGGTATAGTCTTACCTTCTAGACTGCCACCTCTTGTTTCCCTAAGTGGCCCCTCCTCGGATCCTTAGGACTCTCATCAAATCAGCAGATAATTAGAAAGATTTTTCCCACATTGAACTGGTAACTTCCTGATTATTCTAAGTTCAGGCCCTCAGACCGCATAGTACAAGTCCACTTTGTCTTCTTTGTGAATCTCCTTCAGATACTTGAAGGGCACTCAGCATGCCCTACTTGACTATACCTCTTCTCCAAGACAAATTGACCTTTACTGTGTCTTCGGGTGCCATGTTTTCAGAGTTTCACCTAGGAAATCTTGTTTCATTTATTTCTCTGCCCTGGAAACTGGAGGCAGTTTCTGGTGAATTTGAAACTATCTCTGGTGAATTTAAGGTTGTTTTTTTAATCTCTACCCCCAGCATCAGTGTTTTTCCCCATCAAGCCCCTTGAGAAAGTTGTTATCAAAGACAAAAAAGAAAAAATGTTCTCTTTTTAGATAGAATCATGCTAGCAGTCCCGGTTCCCGTTTTAGGACCCTGCCCATACAGAAGCTTGCTCCCCTCAAAATCGTCCAAATGCCTGTCAGTGAAGCAGGCAGGGCCATACCACTGCACATCCTCTAGTTAACATTTGGTTGGCATATCGAGTTTCATGGCCCACAGTGATTTCACTGCAGAGTCCACTTGGCATCTTGCACAGAGCAGATGAAAGCAGCCTCAGAAAGGAAGCTGCTTCTCTGGCACACATGGGCAGAGTGGCATATTCCTGCATTGCCCAGAGTACTTCAGTTTCATTCAGCTTCAGAGGCTCAGCCCTTCAGGAGGGAACAAGTGATGGAGCCACTTTAGGCATTAAAATAGAGTATTTGGCATCTGGAAAAGTTGATGTTTTGTACCCTTTGATCTGAGACCCATCTTCCACTCTTTTAAATTGACTGTCATGTGATTAATTGTGTTATCAGGTTCAGGAGCATTTCTTCCCTTCGTTTTCACCCTCTTTCCATATTTGACGTAGAATGGTGTATTTTAATTTAATTTCATGAGCTATATGACACTGAGAAAGTATGAATTGATGATGGCACTCTAGCATTCTGCATTTTGTCATATTTTACCATCTGTTCAACAGATGAAAAGCATTGGGTTTCTGTTTCTTTGCAAGTTGGATATTATGTAGGGCAGACAAAATAAAAGCTCTTGTCCTTGAGGTATTGACACTCTTAACTAGGAGTTCTTAATCTGGGACCTGTAGACCTAGAGAATCTATGGCAAGCTTCTTTGGCTCCTTAAACAGTCAAAAAAATATTATGCACAATTTTTTTTTTTTTTTTGGTACCAGGGATTGAATTCGGGTCCTTGGTCTTGAGCAGCAGGCGGCGAAACCACTGAGCTAAATCCCCGGCTCACACTTTTTTTATATAATCTCTTGTACAAATTTTTCTTGAGATTTTTGTCAGGGTATCTAAGGCCAAATAATAGTTAAGGATGACTGGGTAGAGGTTTTAGGATCCTAAAATTGAGCTAGATACAGCTTTTAGGGCCGGGGATTTAGCTCAGTGGTTCTGCCACCTGCCTTGCAAGTGCAAGGTCCTGAGTTCTATCCCTGGTAACCCCCCCCCACAATCTTTTAATTAGGACTGATGGCAGTGTTGTAGGTATTTGGGGTTTGTTTGTTTAAGGAAATTGCCTTGAAAAAATCTCTTTTAAAGCAACTTGTAACTGAACTTTGGTCTTGTTCATAGGATTTTACTCACTAAATTGTGTGTGGTGGCCAAAGGAAAACAAATGAGCGCCATCTAGAGGCCTTGGCTGACAAATAACAACTTTCATCGTACACAAAGGTCTTTAGCTTTGACGACTTTCTAAATTAAGAATTTACTTTCTTCTCTTAAGTAATTGCAGACAGTAAATATGTATATCAAAGATCTTAAAGTTGTGGAATCTAGCCTTGTTACTCTGGAGATATAATTTTAATAAAGCTTAACGTTGTAGATGGCATTTACTCTTTTTACAGGAAGGGACATAGGAACTGCATTATTTTGGATCTACACTGCATTGGAATATTCTTCATACTGCAAGAGCAAATTGATACTTGATGTATCGTTTTGATGTAAAGACTTTCTTGTATTTTCTGTAAAGTTAGAACACATTTAAAAGCTAAGAGTAAAGCTGGTCGTGGTGGCATACACCTGTAATCCCAGCACTCTGGAGACTGAGGCAGGAGAATTGCAGTGAGTTCGAGGCCAGCCTGGCTTACATAGTGAATTTGAGGCCAACCTGAACTATGTACTGAGACACTGTCTCAAAAAAAAAATAAAAGCTTGGGGCTGGGGATTTAGCTCAGTGGTTTCGGCCCCTGCTGCGCAAGCATAAGGACCTGAGTTCAATCCTGGAACCAAAAAAAAAAAAAGCTAAGAGTAATTCACTTTAATTATTCAGTATTTTTTCTAGTAAGCGATATGGGATGATATTTGCCAAATTCTGTAGAAATTGCAGGGCTGAGTTTGCCCTGGAAAAACAGATCAAACGGAATGCATGTCCACCTGAAGATACATGACAGAGTAGTCAAATCATAGCTTTGAAATCCTAGTGTTGCCATTACTTTTCAATGTTGAGCACATTACCTTCTCAAAATCGTGTTCCTTTTTCATTTATAAATGAAGTTGCTAATAACAGTATCTGAGGGTTGTTATAAAGATTAAATGATATAAAAAGTATTTTCACAAATGCAATGTTTGATTAAATATTCAATAAATATTCATATATTCAATAGATATTTATTCAGCTCCTATTAGCTATACGAACCATTTTTGAGATTGGGGATTTGATGTTGGGTATAGCAGTAAGGAAAAAAGATGTTACATTGTAGGAGGGATGTTAGGCAATAAGTAAATAACAAAATGATTTCACAAAAAAAATCATTGATGTGAAGAAAATTCATGTGACATAATAGAGAGTAACTGGAGACTTGCTTTAGAGTAGGTGGTCAGGGAAAAGCTTTTTGAGAAAGGGATGTTAAAACTCTTATCTAAATGACACAGAGCCAGCCATAAGAAGATCAGAGGAGGGGCCATGCCAGCTAGAGGAGCAAGTGTAAAGGCCAGTAAGTGGGAGTATGCTAGCTTGCAGAGGGCCCAGGCAGGAGCCTATAGGCACAGGACTTTGTATTGTCAGTCTGAGGATTATGGGAAGAGATTGTAGATTTAGAAGCAGTATAGCGATAGGCCCAGGGCTATGTTTCAGAAAAATTCTTTTTGCTTCTCTATGGAAAATAGATTGTAAAGAAGTAAGAATGGAAGCAGACCAATGAGAAGGCTTTTTGCAGTCTAAGCACACAATGATGGTGGCTTGGATAAACACACTGAATTAATGGTTCAGGGAGTTGGCTTCTCCATCAGCTCTGCAGTACAGAGGCAGTGTAGCATTGTGGTTAAGAGCAACAGGTAGAGAATCACACTGCTTGGTTTGAAATCTGAATTGATAACCATGTGACTAAGGACAAGTTTCTTCTCTATGCCTAATTTTACTGTTTCTAAAATGGAAATGATGATAGTATATTCCCTTTAGAATTGCTTCAGGATTAAATGAGATAATCGTAAAATTCTCAGAAGAATGGGTTAATACTGCTATACTATCACTGACCATCTCCATCATAACTACCACTCCACATGATCATCAGTACCTCGAATTTACAGATAAAAAAACTTAGAAGAGAAATAGAAGGTAGTTTTGAAGTCAGAATATAGGTTTCTTCATTTTGCACCTGTTCTTGCAACAATATAACCTGGAGTATGAGTTCCCAGAGAAAAATACCTATTGATTTGAATCTCTGTTATACACCTCAATTTTACATAACTGAATGTTTAAATATTGAGAATATTGTCTGTAAGGGGCTAGCTAAATCCCAGTGTGTGGTAAAGAGATGGCCTATGCCTGTTCTTCACTTCTTGTAACATTTTGTGCTATCAGAATTTTCAAATTACCTGAGTTTTGAAGAGATGTATTACATACCTAAACCAAAATCATTAATATGTAAGTAATAATACAGGATACCTATGGGAGGAGAAAACTGAATATTTTTAGAACCTTATAAGAGTGAATCTCTTTAGAGAACATTCTATTCTTCATTAATCGTGAGACCATCATACTGTAAATAAGTGAGACTCATGGATTATTCTTAGATTTTTTTGATCAGACTTATAGTGAAAACATTAATCAGGCTGCCACATTTGAATTCTCTTTTCTCCACCACTGCTTTGCCCAGCCTCTTCTGGAGTAAGCAATGAAAAGGTAAGGACCAAGGAATAAGAGAGACAGAATTAGAAGGATGGAGCTTGAGAATCTACCTGGTGGCCTTGCTTCTAGTACCTCAGCTCTACTGGTCCCTCCCATCACCAGACACTGAGGGCAGACTGTTTGTCTGTTACAGAATGTGAACACTTGATCCGCCACATGCTGGTGTTAGACCCGAATAAGCGCCTCTCCATGGAGCAGATCTGCAGGCACAAGTGGATGAAACTAGGGGATGCCGATCCCAACTTTGACAGGGTGAGCTGCGTCCCACTTGCCTTGAGGAACTCTTCTTAGAGCTACTGCAGTCCGTTTTACCTGTGATTGTAATCCAGCCATGACCTGAAAAGTCAGGCAGTAGGAACAAATCTGTGTACTATAAACTATAGCAGCAAGAAGGACTGTAAAGAGTTGGGCATTTAGCTCAGTGGCACCGTGCCTGCCTCACAAGCCCAAGGTCCTGAGTTTGATCCCCGGTTCCAAAAAAAACAAACCAACAAAATGAAGGACTGTAAAGACCAGCTGATTTGCTAGAGAATGGTGATACTGGTTCCCTGCCATTTGTCCTAAACATAATTTTTTGGTGTTTTGTTTTTGTTTTCAAGATAGTACATCCAAAAATTCTGTAGCTCACCCACCACCATGAGGATGTCTTCTTTCTCTCATCTTAGTGTGCTCAGTGCAATATCTTCTGTGGCATACCTTTATTTAAACCACTATGACCATCCCAGGTACCCAAGGAGTTCAGGAAACAGGGGAATCTTGTCTGCTCAAAGATGATCACCAGAGCCGTCTTGCTTAGACTTTGTGTATGGCCAAAAACATACTCAGCTAAGGGCATGGAACAACATGGTGGTTATATAGGATACGCCATACTGACATGGTTAATTGACAGCTTGTCACTTCATGTTACAGTTAATAGCTGAATGCCAACAACTGAAGGAAGAAAGACAGACAGATCCCCTGAATGAAGATGTCCTCTTGGCCATGGAAGACATGGGACTAGACAAAGAGCGTACACTACAGGTATCTAGGAAGGAGTGGAGAACAAAGTGAGATATAGAAGTCCTTCCTCTCCAGTCTTTTATACTTTTTTCTTCTTCCTGAGAATTTGGGTCTTTTTGCTTTCTTCCTTTTTTCTCTTCTTCTGCCCCTCCTGGGCCTGGGAAGGAAAGAAAGTGCTTTGGTCTTCTGATGTTATTATTGAAAGGGTTTTGGTCATTGACAGGCTATTTCATAGGGTTTTTTACTTTTTTCCCTTCTCTCTTGGTAGTCATTAAGATCAGATGCCTATGATCACTATAGTGCAATCTACAGCCTGCTGTGTGATCGACATAGGAGACATAAAACCCTGCGTCTCGGAGCACTTCCTAGCATGCCCCGAGCCATGGCATTTCAAGCACCAGTCAATATCCAGGTGGGCAATATCTCCAGCGACCTAGTTCAGGACAAGTAACACCAGGGGGTAAGGGTTAGCTGCTGCTCACCATCCCCAAGTCAGTTTCCTGTTCTTCCATACTCTGTCATCTCTTCTTTTGTCAGAGGCCAACCAAGATTTGAATCTTTCTTTGACAAAGGATGGATGGCAACAATTGTTAGTTTCTTCTTTCTTTTTAAGAAATTGCAAATCATTGCTCTTTCTAAAGAATGCTTCTATATTGTGGCTTCTAAGGGCAAAGGAACCAAAGACTTTAGCAATCCAGACTACTTCAAAAAAAATACCATTATTTTCCTCAAGTGTTTAAGTGTGTGTGTGTCTACATATTGATCCTTTCCAGGCGGAGCAGGCAGGAACAGCTATGAGCATCAGTGTGCCCCAGGTGCAGCTGATCAACCCGGAGAACCAGATCGTGGAGGCAAGTAGCAGCATCTGCAGGTTATCAGCTCAAGCCGCTTTCCTCCCCATGGCTGCATTTTCTTTCCTTCTTTCTTATTTCTATTAATTGTTTCCCTCCACCTTAGCCGGATGGGACATTAAACTTGGACAGCGATGAGGGTGAAGAGCCCTCCCCTGAGGCCTTGGTCCGCTATTTGTCAATGAGGAGGCACACAGTGGGTGTGGCTGACCCACGGTGAGTATCTGGGCGACAGCTCTGCTCAACACCAATGCAGAGAATTCCCACATGGCACATTTTCCCTACTTCATGTTATCTACCAGATGAGTTCCAAGTGACCACGACAAGTTTTAGGTCAGAATTGATTTGACTAAAGAACTGCAAAGAATCATACCAATTGATCACAATACCTTGGTGAGAAGTATGAGAGTCCTTTTACCCATAAAGATTGAGGTCTTCCAATCTAAACCACACTGAAGTACCCCTTAAAATTCATCTAAGTTAGACAGCTTTTAGAGATGGTGTTTGCCACATATTCATCTACGAAGAGAGGACAAATAATAAGGTGTAACTTATATATCTGGACAATTAAAATTAAGTGAACAAGATTCCAGAAACACACCAACTCTCCAAAGTGTCTCCCCAAAGCTATCTTTCATGATGTTCCCCAATGCTTCACACTGGGGAAACAGACTGAAGGCCAGCTTACTCCATTTTTGTTCTACAGTTAAAGAATCCTAACATTAAAAACAACCTTCCTCTTCTCTCAGTATTTTCTTGGTAGAATAGAGAAGAGAAGGTTGTGACAAGAGTTTTCCTGATAGTTCAACTAGAGGCAAAGCTGGTTTTCTTATAAATATCTGTTTTCTCTGAGTGAATTTCCCAAAATGACTCCCTTGCCTGCTGATTTGCTGGCTTTATATTCCTTGTTCTCAGCCTCTGATCCAATAGGCAATAGGGGGAACATTCTGGCTCCACTGAATGTGTCAGCTGCAAAGGAGTGGAGTCCTGAGTAGCTGCTAGTGGAAAGATCTCTGCTGTAAAGCCTACTTTTGTAGCACGACAGCCCTGTACATCCAGTACTTATCTGTCCTGTCAGCACTGAAGGAGTAATTGCATTCTTTCCCTGGTGAATCAGTCGTTACTTCAGGCAGCCATTGTCTTAGAGGTTGGCTCATGCTGTCCAGAAACTTGTTCACTTCCAGGCTTTGAAAACTCAAACTGGCCAAGAGCCAGTGTTTCCTCCTGGCCTGGAGCTGTGGGTTTTAATGTTTGGTCAATGAAGAATAGTGACTCCAGACCCAAATAGTAAAATGGTAGAGAGACCAATTCCACACATTAACCTTTGGCTTTGCTTTGAGATCTTAGAGAAAAATACAAATTTAGGAGAAAGGTAAAAAATAAACTTTACTAAACATAGCAGTGTCATCCATTTTGGGATTTAAACATTTCTGAATAACCACATTTCTCTGTCTTCCTGTTTTCTATCAGCACGGAAGTTATGGAAGATCTGCAAAAGCTCCTACCTGGCTTTCCTGGAGTCAACCCACAAGCTCCATTCCTTCAGGTGGCCCCTAACATGAACTTGATGCACAACCTGTTGCCCATGCAAAACTTGCAGCCAACTGGGCAGCTTGAGTACAAGGTACTCAGGTGTGGGAAAGGGTTTGCCTCAGGAGAAACAAACTTGAATTTCCTTTGAAAGGATTTGAGGGACCTTCCCCAGTTCTCGAGGGTTTCCTTAGAGAGGAAGATTTCACTTTTAAAGCAGCTGGAATGAAAGGGACTATTACTGTAGTCTGCATCACAATCAGAGAGTCTTTTAATTTTAGTAGATTAGAGTGCTGCTGTTTTCACCCCTTCTGATCTCCACCTCAACAGTCTGTCCCACCACTCTCCTTCTGGCAGGAGCAGTCTTTGTTACAGCCGCCCACTCTACAGCTACTGAATGGAATGGGCCCCCTTGGCCGGAGGGCATCAGATGGAGGAGCCAATATCCAGCTGCATGCCCAGCAGCTGCTGAAGCGCCCACGGGGACCCTCCCCACTTGTCACCATGACACCAGTGAGTAGCAGCACAGAGCCCAGATGACGTTCAAAGACTTGATAAAGACGTTGTGAGCCTAGAGTTGGGCCAACTTAAAAGTCTTAAAAGTCTTCTTCTTTCTCCAAACATTTGATGCTCAGTGTATTCCTATTTCTTCACACTTTTCCAGTGTTTATTTTTCACTAACTTCATTCCTCAGATCATTTCTCCCCAGAACCCTGTTCCTGGAGAGCCACTCCTCAGCAGACCATGAACAGGCAGCCTGATTAAGTACAGCTGCACTCCTACTGTGTGAAGGCCCGCAGCAGCGGCCTCAACCAAAGCCTTCTTACAAAGAACTTTCCCTGCCTGACGGAAGGCAGTTGAATTAAAAAAAAAAAAAAAAAAAGATTCTTAGACTGGTTTCCAAAATTAGCATCTCACCAAGTCTTTCTCCTTTATCAGCACTACCTACCATTTTTGTTACACTTGGATCGCTTGATTATTTGGCTCAAACCTAGTTAATCGCTGTCTCTCAGTCATATTCAAAGCTTTGTAATGTATAATGGTCACAAAGATTTTATTTTCCTCCCGTGGGTTCTGTTTATTTCTGCTTATTTTTCTGTCATAAATCATTCATAAATTCATTCTCATAGCACTGTAAGATTGGATACTAACTGTATCCATAGACTTTATGAGATGTTTTAGGGCAGTGCTTCTTAAATTGTCTGTAGTTGAGGCCCATTTCCCCTCTTCAATCCATCATTAATTGCTACTTTTGTAAAATACAATAAAAATGAGTGAGTCAGAATTGAAATTTTGGGGCCAATGTCAGGGTGCTTGCCTAGCATGCATGAGGCCCTGGGTTCAATTCCTGTTACCAAAAAAAAAAAAAAAAAAAAAATTTTAAAAACAAAATATAAGGGGGCCAGGGATTTAGCTCAGTGGCACCGTGCCTGCCTCACAAGCCCAAGGTCCTGAGTTTGATCCCCGGTTCCAAAAAAAACAAACCAACAAAATGAAGGACTGTAAAGACCAGCTGATTTGCTAGAGAATGGTGATACTGGTTCCCTGCCATTTGTCCTAAACATAATTTTTTGGTGTTTTGTTTTTGTTTTCAAGATAGTACATCCAAAAATTCTGTAGCTCACCCACCACCATGAGGATGTCTTCTTTCTCTCATCTTAGTGTGCTCAGTGCAATATCTTCTGTGGCATACCTTTATTTAAACCACTATGACCATCCCAGGTACCCAAGGAGTTCAGGAAACAGGGGAATCTTGTCTGCTCAAAGATGATCACCAGAGCCGTCTTGCTTAGACTTTGTGTATGGCCAAAAACATACTCAGCTAAGGGCATGGAACAACATGGTGGTTATATAGGATACGCCATACTGACATGGTTAATTGACAGCTTGTCACTTCATGTTACAGTTAATAGCTGAATGCCAACAACTGAAGGAAGAAAGACAGACAGATCCCCTGAATGAAGATGTCCTCTTGGCCATGGAAGACATGGGACTAGACAAAGAGCGTACACTACAGGTATCTAGGAAGGAGTGGAGAACAAAGTGAGATATAGAAGTCCTTCCTCTCCAGTCTTTTATACTTTTTTCTTCTTCCTGAGAATTTGGGTCTTTTTGCTTTCTTCCTTTTTTCTCTTCTTCTGCCCCTCCTGGGCCTGGGAAGGAAAGAAAGTGCTTTGGTCTTCTGATGTTATTATTGAAAGGGTTTTGGTCATTGACAGGCTATTTCATAGGGTTTTTTACTTTTTTCCCTTCTCTCTTGGTAGTCATTAAGATCAGATGCCTATGATCACTATAGTGCAATCTACAGCCTGCTGTGTGATCGACATAGGAGACATAAAACCCTGCGTCTCGGAGCACTTCCTAGCATGCCCCGAGCCATGGCATTTCAAGCACCAGTCAATATCCAGGTGGGCAATATCTCCAGCGACCTAGTTCAGGACAAGTAACACCAGGGGGTAAGGGTTAGCTGCTGCTCACCATCCCCAAGTCAGTTTCCTGTTCTTCCATACTCTGTCATCTCTTCTTTTGTCAGAGGCCAACCAAGATTTGAATCTTTCTTTGACAAAGGATGGATGGCAACAATTGTTAGTTTCTTCTTTCTTTTTAAGAAATTGCAAATCATTGCTCTTTCTAAAGAATGCTTCTATATTGTGGCTTCTAAGGGCAAAGGAACCAAAGACTTTAGCAATCCAGACTACTTCAAAAAAAATACCATTATTTTCCTCAAGTGTTTAAGTGTGTGTGTGTCTACATATTGATCCTTTCCAGGCGGAGCAGGCAGGAACAGCTATGAGCATCAGTGTGCCCCAGGTGCAGCTGATCAACCCGGAGAACCAGATTGTGGAGGCAAGTAGCAGCATCTGCAGGTTATCAGCTCAAGCCGCTTTCCTCCCCATGGCTGCATTTTCTTTCCTTCTTTCTTATTTCTATTAATTGTTTCCCTCCACCTTAGCCGGATGGGACATTAAACTTGGACAGCGATGAGGGTGAAGAGCCCTCCCCTGAGGCCTTGGTCCGCTATTTGTCAATGAGGAGGCACACAGTGGGTGTGGCTGACCCACGGTGAGTATCTGGGCGACAGCTCTGCTCAACACCAATGCAGAGAATTCCCACATGGCACATTTTCCCTACTTCATGTTATCTACCAGATGAG